ACGAAGTTGGATAGGCACATGGAAGTGCTGGGATGGGTGAAAGGATCTGCCCTGTATGGCCAGTCGGCCTCCTGCATCCCACTTTCTTATGTTCTTATGTTATGTAATCCGGCTTGTGGGCCGGGTTCGAATCCTGCAGGTTGAGGTGTTGATTGTTTGCAGAAGTCCGAGTGCTTTATTGTCAATGAAATATATATATATATATATATATATATATATATATATATATATATATATATATATATATATATATATATATATTATATATATATATATATATATATATATATATATATAATATATATATATATATATATATATATATATATATATATATAATATATATATATATATATATATATATATATATATATTTATTATATATATATATATTTATATATATATATATATTTATATATATATATATATATATATATATATATATATTTATATATATATATATATATTTATATATATATATATATATATAATAATAATATTATATATGTATATATATATAATATTATATATATATATATATATATATATATATATATATATATATATATATATATATAGTTGTGACTAAAGAGATAGATAGATTAGATAGATAGATAGATACGCTCTCACTTTCTATTACAGAATCCAGAACCTTGTCTCCAATTTGTACGTCATTGCGTCACGTGGTGTGGGTGGAACCTCCGGGAGATCCATGAGATCCGAACGTTTTCAACCGTTCGCTATTATTGCGTCACGAGGTAGTACATAAGAACATAAGAAAGTGGGATACTGCAGGAGGCCGACTGGCCCATACAGGGCAGATCCCTTTCACACCCATCCCAGCACTTCCATGTGCCTATCCAACTTCGTCTTGAAGCTCCCTAGCGTCCCCGATCCTACTATAGCACTCGGTAGCCTATTCCACATATCCACAACTCTATTACCAAACCAGTGCTTGCCTATATCCTTTCTGAATCGGAATTTATCTAATTTAAAGCCATTTGTTCTAGTTATTTCGTTATTACTGAGCTTCAGAACATCTTCCATTTTACCCTTGTTAATCCCACTTACCCACTTGTACACCTCTCATATCTCCCCTAACTCTACGCCTCTCTAATGAATGTAAGCCTAAGCTTTTCAGTCTTTCTTCATATGGAAGGTTTCTAATATTATGGATCATTTTTGTCATTCTTCTTTGTACTCTCTCCAAAGAATCTATGTCCATTCTATAATGAGGACACCAGAACTGAACCGCATAATCCATGTGTGGCCTCACTAATGCTAGGTAAAGTTTCAAGATAACGTCAGCAGTTCTATTACTCACAGACCTAGATATGAATCCAAGAATCCTGTTTGCCTTGTTGCGAACGCGAATACATTGTTTTCTAGGTTTCAAGTCGTTGCTAACAAATACACCTAGATCTTTTTCACAAACTGAGTTTTCTATTTCCGTGTTACCTAGTTTATACTTAACGTTTGTATTCGTCTTCCCTATCTGTAGTACCTTGCATTTATCAGTATTAAAATTCATTTGCCAGTCTACTGACCACTCATGTAAGGTATCTAGATCTCTTTGAAGGTGTTCAAAGTCACTGTCTGAATTTATCACTCTCCCCATTTTGGTATCATCTGCAAATTTACTAATCCTACTAGTTATGCCTAAATCAAGATCATTAATGAATATAACAAACAGCAGAGGGCCTAATACAGATCCCTGGGGAACTCCGCTTTTGACCGCACCCCAGTCTGACTTTAATCCATTTATGCTGACTCTTTGTTTCCTACCAGTTAACCATGACCTAATCCATTTTAATAATGATCCACCTATTCCATGTGCTTCTACCTTCCTTATCAATCTCTCATGAGGGACTCTATCGAATGCTTTACTGAAATCTAAATAAATTATATCATATGACTTATCATTATCTACCGCTTCATATACTTCTGAGAAAAAGCTAAGCAAATTTGTGAGACAAGAACGTCCCTGGGTGAACCCGTGCTGAGAAGAATGAATTAAGTTGAATGTTTCAAGGTGGCTTCTGATTTTTGTAGCAATAATTGACTCTAGCAACTTGCCTATGATTGACGTGAGACTAATGGGACGGTAATTTGATGCAATTGATTTATCACCTTTTTTGAAAATCGGAACTACATTTGCAAGTTTCCAAGCTTCTGGCACTAGGCCCGATTCTAATGACTTATTAAATAAAACTGCTAATGGATTACTCAACTCATCTCTACATTCTTTTAATATTCTAGCATATACCTCGTCTGGACCAGGCGATTTATGAGGCTTCAGTTTGTTAATTACTTTAAGCACATCGTTACTAGTAATATTGATATTCATCAACATATTTTCTATACTGTCGTTATATACCTTATGAACTTCTGGAAACTGTGCTAAGTTTTCATTTGTGAATACGGAGCGAAAATGACTATTTAACGTACTACACATTTCTAACTCATCATCAGTCATTTCTCCTGTCGTAGTTTTAAGGGGACCTATTGTATCTCTAACCTTTGATTTATACAGTTGATAAAAAGCTTTGGGGTTATTTTTCGATTCGTTTGCTACCTTGATTTCATAATTTCTCTTTGCTTTCCTAATTTCTGTTTTTACCTGTCTTGTTAGGTTCTGATAGTAACCAAGTAAGTGATTTTCGCCTTTCTTAACTTTTCTATATACTCCTTTCTTTTTCCCTAGAAGATCTAAGAGTCTATTATTCATCCATTTTGGTTGGTTCCGTATCGATCTGAATTTTCTTTTAGGGATGTGTTTATTTTGAGCATTATTGATTGTCGCAATAAATTGTTCATAAGTAGCTGCTAAATTAAATTCGGGGTTATCCCGTCCTAAGTTGACAGTTTCCGGAGGTGTGGGGGGGATTAATCTTTTGACCATAGGGTCATCCCTTAGGTCTCTCCTTAAGCTACCGTAATTAGCCTTCCTAAAATCCGGGATCAAGGCCGAATTTTCCTTCTTCCTGCCATCCCATATTATGTTAAAATATATGGCTTTATGATCACTGTTTCCTAGTTCGTCTCCAATCCCAACATCTTTTACTAGATTTTCATTATTACTGAGAACTAAATCGAGGATATTATTTCCTCTAGTGGGCGAGTTTATGAATTGATATAAAAAACTATCTTGTACTACTTCTAGAAAATCTTCAGATTCATTATCGCTAAGTTGATTTTTCCAATCTATGCCTGAAAAGTTGAAATCGCCTAGAATACATACATTGTTTCTATCAGATGCCTTCTTTATTTCCTCCCATAGCAATTTACCATCGTTCCTACTCAAATTAGGTGGTCTATATATAACACCAATGACTACGGATTCACTGCCCTCACCAATCTCTACCCAAATACTTTCATTGTCGCTATTTGTTTTAATGTTTGATTTATTGCAGCTTTTTAATGACACCCTGATATACACTGCTACACCGCCACCTCTCCTTCCTACTCTGTCAAATTTAAATAGGTTATATCCTGGAATATGAAATTCTGCTAAAAAATGTTTGCTGTTTGAATTTATCCATGTTTCCGTTATTGCAATTATATCTATGTTCTCTTTACTAACAATGGCCCTGAGCTGGTCCATTTTGTTACACAGGCTTCTACTATTAGTATAATAAACACTCAATATATTTCTTCCGTTTCTATCTGTTTTACATTTATTACTTTGATGTTTGTTATTATGACTAACTATATTTTCAGCATTATCTACTTCTGTTTCACTACTTCCCAGGACCTGCTTGTTTTTTGACTCCCATTTTCCCCGACCCCTCTCTACTGGCGAAACCCCCCCTTCGGAGTGACAATTTCACGCTCCAGGGATGCAGACAACGTCTTTACCCCCTCACGAGACAAGTGTACTCCGTCGCGACAGTACAGGTAGTCGTTGCCATAAAATCGTTGCCAGTCATCAATGAATGCCCAACCATTGTTTGCACAATGTTTTTCCAGTCGGCAATTAATAGCAATTGCCCTGGACAGCCATTCACGACCAACCCCTCTTCTAGGCAAGACACCACATACTATCGGGATCCCTCCCCTATCTCTAATCTTCCCCAGCGCCTCCCTATACCTCTTGAAAAGTTCCTCACTCCTAACCTTACCTATGTCGTTTCCTCCCACACTAAGACACACTACTGGATTGGTACCCTCCCCTGACAAAACTCTGTCTAACCTCTCGGCTACATGCCCTATCCCAGCCCCAGGAAAACATACCCTAGTCCTACGTTTCCTATCTCTCGCACAAAAAGCCCTATCCATAAACCTCACCTGGCTGTCACCAACTACCACGACCTTACCTGTGGGCAGGGTTTGTACAACTGCCCTTTCCTCTCCTTGATCCATACCGTCCTGCCTCTTCTCTTCCTCTCCAGCTTCCTGCAGCACCTGGTAAGGGTTACTGCACTCCACACCCTGGTCAGTTTTCCTAAGCCTGACCCTAGTCCCCTTGGAGACAACCACTCTCCACGTCTGCTCCTCCTTCGCAGGTGTCCTGCTAGGCAGGACACCTACCTGAAGGAGTTCCGTCCTGAGGGCTTCATTTTCCCCCTTTAGAGTGTCAACCTCACTCCTCAACTGCCCCAGCTGCCTTAACAGCGTGGCAAGGAGGTCATCCTTCCCCACACTCCCCTCCTCTTCCCCCACGGCACAACGATCCAAAGCGGCCATTTTCCTTGGTCTCTAGCTGAGCACAACGGCACGTCCTCTCAAGGGGGTATATTTATATATATATATATATATATATATATATATATATATATATATATATATATATATATATATATATATATATATATATATATATATATATATATATATATATATATATATATATATATATATATATATATATATATATATATATATATATATATCATGTAGATCCACAATGGAGAACTTTAGTTTCGTCTTTATTCAAGACATCTGCAGAGTAGTGGCAAGTGAAAGAACGTAACGCACATGTTCAGGCAAGCATTCAACCCATAACGTAACTACTACACTCTGTTACGTTTAGGGAAGGACAACACATATATAAGAGCGGTGCCAAGGTTTTTCTCACTAGTAACCTACTCAGACTGCACCCAGAGCGGATCTCCCGCTTCTAGTGTACTGTGACTCGCTAGATTAACCCCGCTGCAGCATGAGGTACACATTCATAGAGAACCTGGGTGTTGGTGTAGTGCCCCAAGACGACTCGGCACGCGCTAAAACTTACAAACGGTGCACCATCGCCTGTGTGGTCATCATAATAGTGCTGATGTTGGCCAACGTGATCCTACTGTATACTGTGTATGGTGACCGTGGCTCTCTCACGTGTTCACCTCCAATAAGGGCAGACGTCAGTACTCTTCTGAACGACACTGAACACGGTAAGAAATATGAAACGACATCGGTGTATAATGTGACGGAATTTAGTGCCACTATCGCGTATAACCATCCCACGTCTCCCACAGTGAACAATGCCACTACACCTGGGTCAAGTCATATAGGGAACAGCGCCACTACATCTGGGATGGATTGGGAGAAGCAGAAAATCGAACAGGAGCTGAAGGAACTACGTGAAGTGGGATGCCAGCCGACGCAACAGGTCATGCACTTGTCGACCTTACTCACTCCTGACGACAACTTGGCGGACAAGAGAACACTAAAACCCGAGTGGGTGGTAGTGAGGCGTTGTCTATCTACCTTCAGCTACTGCCCTGGTCCTCGACGCTGCCGCCCTGCTCCAGGAACTGAACGTAATAAGACGATCGTCGTGTACGCCCAAGATGAAGACGGGTCGTTTGGATACCACCAACGAAAGGTCGTCGAGCACACTAGTTGCAGCTGCCAGTGACTTTTGTGTTTATAGCTTCCTGTGATGGCAGTGAAGCAGTGTGTGTACATATCTCTGTACTTCCCTACGGAAGCCAGATAGTTTCATGTGTACATATATCATTATTTATTAGTAATCTCAAACTAATATTGTTAACGTGTGAGAATCTCCCATCTTCAGGGAGCAGAGAACATTATGACAACATTGTACATACATCATCTTCATTAAAAAGTGAAAAATGTTTCGTTTCTGTTAATTACCTTCATTTGTATGTAACCAAATTGTGTTGAATAAAGCAACAGTGGTAAGGTGTGTTGGAAGCAACTTAATACTCCAAGAGACATTCACACACGATACTTCCTGTCAACAACATGACCACTAAAACCTAACTACCCTGACTTCATATATCAGTAAACTGTTACATTAGACCAGAGTATCACAAAGGTGTAAAACCCGGCCAGCTGGAGGAGAACCGGGCAGGTCGCCAGGTAACAGATGATTCGCTGCCAGTTACCGAAGGTTTACTGTATATTTTAGGCTTGACGCTCCAAATTCCGGAAATATCCTATCTAGCAGTCCCCAAGTCATGACTTTTTTCCGGAAATTGGAGCGTCAGGCCTAAAATATACAGTAAACCTTCGGTTTATTAGCAGCAAAGTCGCTATTCATAACGTTAGAGTTTCCCCTGAAAATACTCTTGAGTAAACACTGTAACAATATACTGTATATATATATATATATATATATATATATATATATATATATATATATATATATATATATATATATATATATATATATATATGCAAGTAATCACTGTAGGTGCGCGTGATCTAGGTATATGCTGATAACCACAAGGAAAGAAGAAACACGAAGTTCTAAGCGCTGTAATTCACATCTTCAGGTGAGTACAGACATATATTTATATATATATATATATATATATATATATATATATATATATATATATATATATATTTATACAACTTAAAAGTGCTGTTAGTTCAGATATGATCTATCATAGTGGCAGAGGGCAGTTACTCTAGTGGGTTTGTTATAGTGTTGAAGAAGAGTTTAGAATGACAGGTAGCAAGAAGGTCTAATACTGAGGTGTCGGTTTTCATTTTAATAGATCAAGGTTGAAATCTCCTGTAATGTAGCAATGTTTCCTCTCTGAACTTATGATAGTGACAAGCTTCGAAAATTTATCAAGAAAATTCCTTACATTAGTGTGGGCTTCTGTAGATTACTCCTGCTAGGATATTTCGTGTGTCGGTGTGTCGTTACGTATTTCAGTGAAAACACTCTCCATGTACTCCTCCTGAACCTTAAATAATTTCTTACAGAAGTGTTATATTTGATATCAACATATAGGCGACACCACCACTGTGTCGTGACGTGTTGACGCAGTGTCTATTATAATAAGGATGTTATACAAATGCTCAATATCGTTAGTGAGTTTGGTCTCACAGAACTCAAGTATATCAAATTTGTGGGAATAGAAGATAAACACTGATCTAAAAGGTATCTAGAGAAGGGAATACTGCTGATGTTATGGCTAATCAAGGAGAAGAAATGAGGTAGAAGAAGACACCAACTAAACTCGGGAGAGTCAGGAAAGTAATAGTTATAGTTGGGGTTATGTAACCGCAGTGAGTTTTGTAGAAAGGCATCAGGATCGATATTTTTTTTTTATTATTTATAAATTTTGCAATTCATATACACTGCATAACAAATATTATATATTAACATATTTGTAAGTGAAATATTTGGATGACTTTTCTTTTAAAAATACACTCTGATCATCCACTTATTATATTATATCCTGCCTTTTAATAAAGGCTTATAGCCCCTTAACATTAGAATTTTCTTTCTACTTAAATTCATTATTACAGTAAATCGAATTTGATTAGTATGATCATTGTATTCTTATCCTTATTACCATTACAGTTAATATTAAAATACCAAGAAATGCAGAAATAATTTGCTATTGACATTGCAGAATGTATTCAGAGATTTTTAACCATATTTAATTATCTCTTTGTTATGGAACAGAAGTAAAAATACATACGGATATTCTACTCTCACTACATCTTACCAACTATCATCTTGTTTTTTGTTAAACATTTTTAGTCTCTGATTTGTTGGTAGAGTTTCATGAATATAATTTATATATGAAACTTCCTGTGAGGATCCATACACTATTAACAAGTTATATTTTCTCCCAAATAAAAAGTACCTTTTAAAACAGCGGATGCTTTTCTTTCTTTCAACTGCAGGTTTCATATCGTCACATATTTATACATATCTTTATTTTTGACATTGGGAAAATTATGATACCTTTGCTAACCTTCTTAGAGTATTGATTGTTAACATTGTAATAAGGTGGAGACAAGTAGGAAACATTTACCTTGTAGTAGTTTTACTTAATAGAGAAATGTATCCTTATATTTGTATAATATGGAGTTAAAGATTTCTCTTTTCATGGTCTGAAGCTACCCTTAAGAAAGTAATATAATATAGCAGCTGCTTTACAAAACACATTAACTAGCAATTCAATACTCACCTCTTGTTTGACAGGGGTGGTAAAATATAGCTCTCGGTTTTAATTATTGGTACATATTTTTCACTCCATAAGTGGCCAAAATATATGATTCAATTTTTCAGAGTACATTTTATTTAATGGAAATGTATGATAGGTACCTAAGCATTTTGGACAAAACTTTTGAGTTCACAATTATTGCCTTTTGGCACAAGGATAATTTTTCTGTTTGATAAAACAATTTACAGTAATGTTGATATCAAGATTTTGTTCCAATTCATATTAACAGTGTGGTTTTAATCATAATATATAAGTGCCTGAAATTCCCGGAATATTCTATGACCCCATCTACAGCATATTGCGGGGCTATAAATCTCTTTTCTTCCACCAACACCCAAGCCTTATAATACTTGTTTTATCTTTTTTGTTTAATTTAGCACCTGTTGCTTCTTCAAAACCTTTCCATTTCTGTGCTAACCTCAATTATGACTGGTGTGTGACAACAAAGACTGTAGAATCATCAGCATATCCCAGTATGTGGGAATTCTTTATGTTGTTTGGTAACTGGTGGGGGAATTATTCTGGCATTGTTGTTTATCGATAATAAAAAGGTTCTGGAAAAATATATATCGAGAATCATAGAAAGAGTGACATCCTTGTCTTACTGATCTTCAATCCTGGAATGACTTACTTTGTATGTTATTAACCAAAAATCCTACTTCTCACAATTTCCATACACAACATTTTAACTTAGTCTACATAAACATTGTTAATGCCTTAATTTTTTTCATTACTCTAAATACATAAATTTTATAACAATCCTGTCAAATGTTGACTAAATTTGGGTATATCAAGGGATATTTTTGGTTCAGACCACAAGTACTAAATAAATTAAATTGAGTATCCCTAAATCCATGATATTACAATTCTTATTATTGACCTTTCCCTAATACAAATAGCATAGGTCGTTTGGACAATAGTACCCAAAAAGGTTTAATTCTCCTCGCGTCATCATTTTGCAACTATTTTATAATCTTGTTTAGAGGGCTATTGGTCTCCAGTTTCTGCAATCAAATTCAGACTTTAGGCAATTTAACTTTATTATTCCACATTTTGTGATAGTAATTTTGATATTTTTTTATTAAGTAAAGATAAGCTGAATAACTCCCATGATTCTATTCCTGATAAATTTCTGCTGACATGTTGAGTAAGACTTATGTAATTCATCACTACCTGGGGGATCTACCAAGGTTGAGATTACATTGCTCTCTATATTTCTCTCGTTTCTACTGTGGTAATTGACGGCTTAAAGATTCATTTTCTCCGTTCTTTTAGTCTTATTTGCAATTTTATAAAGTTTTCACAGTATTCATCATTAGTTTCCAACTCTTTTTATATAGGATTCCAAAAATTTTTTTAATTGCACAGGATTATGCCTCTGTATTCTGGTAATTTTTCACCATTTTCTCTCTCTTAAACTTAGTAAATAATTCCTTGTTTCCGCCATTTTTTTTACAGATCAAATGGTGAGAAAGCTTTTTTCTTTCTATTCTGTTTTTTTATTCTGATCTTATTTTTAACACCTTCACAAATTTTTGTTCCTTAATCATTTATTCTGGTTTTCAGTGCCTTTATTTCCTTCATAATTCACATCAAGGATTTTAGCTTCTTCAAAAGTTCTTAACTCACTTGGAAATAAATTAATTAGCCCATATTTTTCTTATGCATATTCTTTTTGCTATATTTTTATAAAAAGTTTCATATCTGGTTTAGCACATTGCCCTGCCCACTGTAAAATATTCTGGTACAGTGGTATTTGTTTATTTTATCCTTAACATGTTTCCAAACACTCCAGCTTCTAAAAGTTCATCCAAAATATAATCTATGTTTCATGAAACTTCAAATTTTTACATTTTGTTAATATTTACTTTGCAGAACCATTGAATTAGTCTCAAAAACTGACTGAACTGTATCACATTTGCATTATTTTGTTCTCAAGCCCCTTAACATAAAGCCTATCAATTCTGACCCATATTTATCCCTTTTAACATATGTAAACCTGAGTTATAATTCTGTATCATGGCAATAACTCTTAAGCTTTATATCCTTTATAAGAGTTGTTAATACAGTTAAAGTTTCCCCCAATCATTATATTTTCATTATTTCTGATGGAGAATATGAAGAAATCATCAGAAAACAGCCTTCTCTCCCTTTCTTGTATTCTGATGGGGCATAAATATTAGTCAATGGGAATTATATGTCTAACACGAAACTTGATACATAAAATCAATACCATCCATCACATAGTTAAGTATTTTGAAAGTGGAATTTTTTTCGAACTATTAGTGCAGTTCCTCCCCTAAAAACAAATGTGTACTGTTTATATTAATTTCAAAGTTACCATTTAGATAAGATACTCTGGATCTCTAATAACATTATGTTCTGCATCATAAGAATGTCAATATTATAACATTTCAACAACAGATAATAGTTCCATTTGTTTACTCAACCATTTAGATTACATTCATATTTAATGTTGGTAAACATTATACATGTTACTTATTGTTATAATACCGTAATAAAAAAAATCATCTATTACTTTTTTTCCTCTTTACGTCTCTGTTTTTCTTTCTTCATTTGTACTATTATCCCCTTTATTCGCCTCGGCTAGCTTTTTCCATCCTTCTTACTTAACATCA